AGATGAGCGGATTCTGAATGAGATGAACGAGTTCAATGTGACTACAGAAGAGTATAAAGCATTTGCTCTTGGAGCAGTTACAGACAGCCAGGATACTGTTGGTTTGAAACTCAGGACACAGTCAGTGCCTTAAATAAGAATTGGGAGAAATGAGAGTCAGCCCCTTCAGGGACTGTATCCCAGCGAGGGTCAGCCCCTTCAGGGACTGTATCCCAGCGTGGGATGGAGGGGGATGGTGGGGAAATGCTGTTTGACTGAAAGATTTAAGCTGAAATTAACCTGAATTTTTTTTTGCTCCTTTTGTAAAGCTTCTCGAACTCTACGTCCAAGGCTCGAACACCCCAGCCAATGAGAGACGTCTCCGTTCGCCCAGTAAACCATCCCCGCCACCTCATTTATAGGATGATTTCTAACAAAAAAACTTCTGGTGTTTCCAGAAGAAATTGATTGTGAGCGGACAGAGAAATTTAAAACAAAGCACTAAATTTAATACCATACAGAATATATTGAGTGTTAGGGTTTGCTGTGTGCTGTACCTGTTAATGATATACTGTGTGTCTGGACCAAAATCCTGATTGTGGTTAATAGATGGTGACCAATCTGATCTATCCCAGCGAGTAGCCATGATGTGCTGTTCTCAGTTACTCCCTCATTTCCATTCATGTAACTATAACCCACTAATTGTTAATTTATAGTGTATCATTAAGTTATTTGGTTGTCTTAAGTGCAATAAAATGCTCCCTTCTCCTGGGAGCGTGCCTGCATTCCGTGTTCTCCAAAAGCACAGGAAGATCAATGAGCAAATGAAGTGTGGGGCTGGGAGCATGGAGGGGTGGGGAGGAGAGTCTACCTCCTGCTCCTATCCCCCTCCGTCAGAACAACTTCACTCAGTGTGGGTCTAGTGATGTCAATGATGGGAATCCAACTTGTTTTCATGGGGCGTCTGTCATTGCGAGAGAGGTTTTAACTCCATTGAAAGCTGCTCCCTGTTGTAACAGACGTGAGGAGGATGTGTTTGCCTGGTCGTTTTTAATCGTGCTGCCGATAGCTGGATGTAAGTTGCCCAGAGCGCAGGAGCTCTTCTCAGGACAGATTCAGTAACGTGTCTCCCTTTTATCAACCCGTTATCCCTGACCCCATCTCGTCCTAGTTTACTTGTGCTGTTTATTTCATGAGGGACTGTGTCACATTCTGCACCCCTCTCTTCTTCAATACTCTTCCGGTCCCTCCCCCATTGTAATCTCATTTCTGGAAGAAAGTGTCACTTATTTTTTTTAATTGTTTCACTCACGCAATAATAAAAAAAATTCCAATAGCAGCTGAACTGCCTCTTGTTCTGTCTGTTTGTTTGTGTGTGTTTTATGAGAGAACAGTGTGACCGCGATCAGCGCAGCAACTAATACCTTCCTGCCAATTCAGTGTATATACGAACCAGAAGACTTCAGGAAGCAGTAATTTGTTTGCCAACTTTCAGCACTGCAGGAGAGTAAGCACATCACGTATGCAGAGCAATTAGATGAGCGATGGTTAAAGGTCACTAGTAATTTAAAGTTCGTTAACATTCCAAGGGCACGGCTCCAAATCCCACCTCAGTAGCTGGTGTGATTTGATTTAAATTAAATTATATCTGGAATGAAAGCCATGCCAAACTATCATCAATTCTTGCAGCACCTGTGAAGAAAAATCAGTTAACGTTTTGGGTCCGGTTTACCCTTCCTCAGAACTGGTCACCAGACCCAAAACATTAACTCTGATTTTTCTTCACAGATGCTGAGCTTTTCCAGCAACTTCTGTTTTTGTTCCGGATTTACATCATCCGCAGTTCTTTTGGTTTTTATCAACAATTCTTGTTTCTTAAAAACAAAACCTGGTTGATTGATATGCATTCCGGGAAGGATTTCTATTCTTATTTGGTGTGGCCTACATGTGACTCGAATGTACAATGTATTGACTTTTACAACAAAAACTGAAATTGCTGGAGAAACTCAGCACATGAGACAGCATATGTGGGGAGAAAGCAGAGTTAACGTTTTGAGTTCAGTGATTCTTCATCGCAACTGGATGGCACCAGATTCAAAACGTTAACTCTGTTTTATAAATTCAGAGTTGTACAACACAGAAACAGACCCTTTAGTCCAACCAGTCCATGTCAACCAAGTTTCCCAAACTAAACTAGTCCCACCTGCCTGTGTTTGGCTCATATCCCTCTAAACCTTTCCTATCCAGGTACCTGTCCAAATGTCTTTCAAATGTTGTAACTGTATCTGCATCTATGACTTCCTTCCATTCCAAACACGAG